CATCGAACTGCGACGACTTAGTAAAGTAGTGGAATTCCTGATCTTCTGTTGAGTCATTTTATCGAATTTTTCTCTCTTACCGCATTCGGAATTTGTATACTTTACATGATCCAACAGTAGTTGCTTGATAGTTGCATAGGAGAGTGAAATCGCCAAAATCTTTATAAGGCTGTATGCTTCTTTCCCAATGAATGTAAGGAAATAGGCCACAATATTAAAATCTTCATCACCTTCCTTGGTCAAAGCCCAGATTTCGAACCTCTCCATGTACTCCTTAAAAGCATTAAAATCTAAATTCATATTTAACCGTTCCATCACAGGCTCAATCGCGACGCCAATATGATGGTCAGAAGTATTTGAATTGTAGTATAAACTAATAATCCCAGGAATAACGCAATTTAATCAAGAAGTACAAGAGGAGCACAAACGAATGTATTGTATTTGGAATTCAAAATTACAACAGTCATCAATACCAAGAAGTCATTGATTTATTTGAACACCACATAATACCATGTTCTACTAAGTACCATTTTACGCAGAGAGACTTTTGAATTGGTCGGTGATTTCTGTTGGCTACCTACAGTGACGTCATCACCGATTATATACTTACAGAAAACTTATAGCCTGCCTAAACAGGTATCCAGAGGCTGATAAACGTTTAGATTTCAGCAGATCGGTAGTGTGCAAAGCCTAGCCAAAAGCCTTGGGGAAGTTCATGTATATTACATCAACTGATGTCCTGCTGTTACAGGAGACAATCAAAGTATTTAACGTATGCTAGCATCGCGAAAATCTTACTGAATTTTGACATATATTTTATACTCAAGCTTCGAACTTGGTTCACTTATCTTTTTTCAATCCTGAACTTTGGGTTCCACTATTGCTATTAAGTTCGCTGCTTTGTTTCCAGACTCCAGGAAACCTTAGAACTAAAGATTCACGGTGAATTTAATTTCCGTAATAATTCAGACGAACAATGCTTTTCATAGATTTTCCATTGTTTACGTAAATTTCCTATTTCGTCACTGAATTACTTTGGTTTTCGGCCTATTTATTTTCAGTGTGCAAATCGAGTATTTATCTCTCAAACTCCTGAGAGTCTGGAGATTTTCTTTTAACTCTTTCTCGATTTTCCATCACAAGGAGAAGGCTCACTGTACACGAAAAACTATTCTCAAGACCGTAAAGAATGTTGGGTCACAAATAAGATCACAAAAGTTGTCTTAACCGATCTTTCTAAGATCTTGAAGATGACACTGGTTAGGTTTGTTGGTCTATAATGACAAGGATTCAACATGGGTTCTGTTTTGTGAACGGCAGTGACTATGTCTTCCTTCCAAACAACCGTGAGACACCATGGCTGAGTGGCATCCTAAATAATATTGTGATAGAGGTTGCTTCGTACACTACATGTTTTCCAAACAGCTTGGATTGTAGCTCATTCTTTCTGATTAATTTTTCATGTGTAACATAGAGTGTGAATTTAGTGTGTCTGCCAGGTTGTCGTCAACATTGCTTCTGGAACTCATTCAGTATTGGTCGGAATCTCATTAGCGAAGTTTTATTCGGAATGCTTAATCATGTATCCCACTTTGTTTTAGTTATCTTTTACTGTCTGAGACTCGCTTCCTAAATAGAGTGAGAGTGTCCTAATATTTTGTTGTTCTGTAACTGATGCACGTTGAAGCGGTCGTTTTGGATGCCTGATTGCAGTTTGCAGAAGCTAATCTCTGTATGTTGCTAGGTCACTCTGACAGCAAAAAGAATGACCAGCAGCGTTGCATGTAATCAGGGGAATGCGAATCCACGAGTCTTTTTGAGACGTACCCCGTTGGAGGGTGACAAATAAATCTCTGAAGATACTTGAACAAATCATAGTAGATGGAAACAAGTGTATAGTAGCGTAATAACCCAACGCGATATAACACACTGACTGTCATAGTCGATTACGGAGTACGAAAGATTTCTTACTCGGTTGTTTACAGACAGTAATGGTTATATCATAGGTATCTTGTTGAAAACTGGAACCAAATAGAGTTCCTGAGGATACAGTCTGAAAGCTTTCATCATCCCTTCTATGCGTAAATGACCCTTGATTTCTTATCATCACCAGTCCTGCTATGTTTTAGTTCCTTTGTCGTGAATGCTACTCGCATGTTTGCTTATAAGTTGTACGTGGCGGAATTTCGCATGTAAGTTGTTGCAGTCGACAGCCGAATATAAGGGCCCAAAAAGTATGATGTGGGCAGAATACATGAAGATCGGAACAAAGAAAACAAGGTTGTGTTGAACTGTATGTATTTACCATTATGATCCATTACAGACTGTGGAGTGATAGTATGCGAAGATTTCAAAACCATCCCAGATAGGTCATCCCAATCCGATTCATACTCAAGGTTATTCAGATAACAATTTATTGAGGAGTTGCGAAGCAGATCACAAAGATGAGCACAAGTTTGATAAATGTTTGTCCCGTGGGCAATTTCACCTATGGGATTCATGTGTGTTTCGTAATGCTAAATGCTTTGAAGGTGGTGAATTTTGACACGTATAGGCAGTTCATGATACTAATATCCATTTCACTGCAAGTAATGCTAAACTTTGTAGCTCCGATCTTACTAAGTTAAATGTTTCAAATGAAACATACTCTGATCAGATTCATGATATTACTTTACCAGATATACGTTGTTCTCATGATTCGTGTGTTTCTAATGAAATTATTTACAAATATGTGGAAGATACATCGAGGGCACCAAATCCTGATCAGAACTCGGATGTTATTTTGTTCGACGTGGTTTGTCATAATGATTCATATATTTCTAGCGAAATATCAATCAAATGTGAAGAAAAAGGTCTAAATAGGTTAAAATCTGATTACAGTCCTTATGATGTTGCATCACGTGTAATTTGTACTCAAGATGGATTTATCTCTAGTGATATCCCTAATAAACGTGACAAATATGTTCCGAATGAGTCGAATTCTAGTCACATTTCTAATGTTATTGTATCAGATGTTGAATATTTTCACAGCCGATGTGTGTCGAGTAAATTCCCTAATCAGTGATAAATGAATCTGAGGAGATAGTAAGTTTTTCCAAATCAGTCAGAGAACCAGTTTGCCCAGATAGGAGTTTGCACAGGCATGAAATTCAAATGGAGTCCAAAATTATTTTAATGAATATGAGGCAGATGCATATTTTCCATTTGATTGTTTTACAGATGAATCAAGCCTAGATGAACCATATGCGTTAGTTATACATATCAATGTGTATTTATCTAATAACTGGGAAAATGGCCTTGTGTATTCTAACGTGAAGAGCAAAAGGGATATACGTCATATTTTTTATGCAAGTCAAAGTCACATGATGGAATACCTCAAATTTTATGTCACTATGTATCACCGAATACTCATATACAATAGTCGAAGTGTGAGATATGAGATAATTCAAATTGGGAACCTCAAATTGGTCATAATACTGCGGCATAAGGACCTTACATTATTTCATGGGAGAGGATAGTGTCGGGAAGTCTATGATTCGAATTCTAAATATCAGTGGTTTCAGTACGCAACCGACATGGTGATTGTATACGATTCCAGGACCCAGGTGAGTCCGTCTCAATTCCAGTTGTTAATTCTAATACTAATGAATATATTCTGCATCATACACACTCTACATTCAATACACGGTCGGAGAGACGTATAATAAACCTAAGGAGAAAAGGCACAATTGATTGCAGAAATTGGGATCCTCATTTAGCTGTGACGGATGTGGTGTTTGTATGAACTAATGATTCTTTGGTACTTGATAACTGCCTGATTTCGAATTCCAAATACAATAAGTTCATTTGTGTTCACCTAGTTCTTCTTGGTCTAAATTTCGCTATTTCCGGGATTTTTAGTTCGTACAATAATCCAAATACTTCTAATCATTATACATATTCACTCCCCTGAAAACATCTAATCCATGCTCATCATTAAATTTACTTTATTCATTAGGAAATTACATGAACGGATAACTATAACAAAAATATTCCCTAGACTTTAGCTTCTAAGTGATATTATTTTAACATATAAGGTGAATATAAGTGACTTGAAAATCATAATTTTATGATTATGAAGGATGATCAGCATACCGTGAAATAAAAATGTCTTTCAGGAACTCATATTTGTCTACATTTCAAACGATTTAAAATTACTTACCGAGGATGAGTTTTATTTCATACACAACGTTACATCTGCTAACTTGAAAAGAAAAACAGTGGTTCGGGCAGAATAACATACATTTGTTTCACTTTGTTATCAGCTTTTTATAGTCTGTAAAACTTCAACATCAAAATTATTGAATGTTATTTATATCACTAATCGACCTAAGTTAAACATCCACCAAAAAGCTTGAAATATTGGACAACTGTTTCGTTCTAGTTGGGCACCCGCCAGTATTGAACATTCTCGAACTGATCGACAATAGAACCCAGGACCTTCAGTCCCGAGGCGAATGCATGATCTCCAAAGAAACGAGTCCGAGTCCTATTTCAGGACGGGACGGTTGTCTATTACTTCTTTCTTTCAAGTAGACACCTAATTTAGGTTGGTTCTTGATACAAATACCATTCAGAAACCTTCACAAACTCCTTATACTCATCAAAATCATTATTAGCCTGTATTTATGGAATTAACTATATAAGTAATTGATTTAGACACCATGGTGTTTTTGAAACTACTATTTTGTAGCTGTTGTAGAATACTCTTATTACATGAACTTTGACTGTGCTGTCTTATTCAATCACATAAGTTTTATCTGAATTTAAGTAAACTTTACACTGTAATGACATGTTCAAATTCACTTCTCATCAATGGGATTTTTATGAGTATGTTAAACGTCATTGCTTTTTTTTAAAACTGAAATATTACAGGTTGTAAATGACTCAAAGGAACTCAAATCACTGTTCTTACTCTTTTCAAAATGAAATAAGTATTAAATTAAATGTTAGATTTATTGTTGCTTATCTTCAAGAAATTCTACTAGGTTAAACGATTATCAGTTTTATTTTACACAGATTAATTCGTAGAAGGTTACAATTATTTTGAAAATGTAATATAAATATATAATCCGTGTTTGAGTATCCTTGACTCTTTAACAAACTTATTATTAATGTACTGAATATATCTTTCAACATAATGTACAATGAATTAATCGATTAATTCAATCAGAATAATCTTTGACTGATAATGCTCCGGTCATGTTCAGTTCAAGCAGTTGATTTACATTGTGATATGAATAGTTATGATGATGATGATGATCTTGTAAACAATGAGAATTTAATTCTGAGAAACAATTGTTCTCTTGTTCATGTAAATAATTTGGTTGTTGATTCATGATATGTATATGTTTAGAATATGTTAATGGATTAAATGAGGTAAATTGTTCATCACAATGTAAGTTCTTAGAACAATGATCTGTTGGTAATAATTCATTATTGACTAGATATTTATTGTATAAATCACTGTTTTGTTTTAATTTACATTCAACTAATTGATCATTATTATTTGTTTTAATGGTTTCTAAGTTATGATGTATGAAAATACTTGTATTATCTAATTTATTTGAACATGGTTGTGTATCATATTTGTCAGTTATTTCAAGATTATTGATACATTTACAAGTATTATACTCAATAGTTTTAGAATTATGATTAAACCGTATTGTTGAATTTGCTTCAGTTAAATGAATTCCATCAATTGAGTTATGACATCGAGTTGGAAATCCTGATCTGATGAATCCATTTGAAGTATCCATAACTCCATGACTTGTAGATGGATATAAATTTTCTCCCGGTTTTTGTCGTTTAAATTTCATACGACGATTTTGAAACCATACCTAGAAAAAACAGTGTATACTGTATCACTGATTGATTTTTAAATTACTGATAATAATTATAAATAAGATCAGCTAAAGATAACATGGTAATTACTTTTGGGTCATAACATTCAGCAACTATCATCGAAATAGTCATGAGATACCACAACTATTTCTGACATGTAACTTTTCTAAAGCAGAAAGGAAATGATTTTTTACCATATTCATTAGAAGTCATTTTCTTCTGAACTGAATATAAATAGGCTTTATATATATACATGACGAATTACAGCATCTAAAACTACATTCCCTTGGTAGACAGATAAATCTCTTTCTACCAAACTGGCAAACTTCATTATTTTATATGAACACATTGTAATAACAATCACCTGTAACTTTTATAGGGAGATTACAACGTATTGTTTTTCATAATAACTTTATTTGCAAAATCTCTAGAAGATACGAATTATTTCATTCGTTTCGCACATCATTAGAATAGCTGTACTAAGATAATTGAGTAAGAACAACCCCAGTAAACCCTTGAGTTTTGAGAGGCAAACAACTTACTTATAACTACAATAAAGGTATATTAGGTAGGTTGATTTCCTTTCATATGATGAGAATTATCTCTGCAGTTAAGTAGTAACTACAAACATTTGAACTAATAGTATCGTTATATTATCACTACATTTAAAATGACGAAATGATTTTAGCTGGACAAGTGGCGTTTCTTGCGTGTCGTGTGTGAGACCGTGATCCACTGCATGCAAGGGATGTGGGTTGTACAATATCGTGAATTGATTAAATTTAGATATAAGCAACGTGGTGGTGGTGGTCTAAAGTGGTCTAAAAGTTAAGGGTTCGTGCATGGGACTGAAAGTCGTGGGTTCAATCCTCGAGTGCAGGGTCGTGGGTGCGGACTGCTGGAGAGTCCCATACTAGGACAAAACGGCCATCCAGTGCTTTTAGGTTTCTAATTGTGGTCTAGCTAAGATCAGTCCGTGGCTTGAACTATGAAAATTCTACAATCTTGACAGATTTTGTATTTTACTATTATTATTGTCAGTTTAAAGAACCCCATAATAATTATGACCTACTTCTTCAAAGGTATTTTAATGTTGCAAAGGAAGAATGTCAAGTTAAAGAAATCAAAGCCTAAGCTAAACACAATGTGATTTGGAATTAACCACACCCAGCATCGTGAATTAGTTGAAGTCGGAAACTTAAATATTCCACCATATTTGATCATATGTATAGTGTTAATTGAATCCACTGAGAAGTATCTTCATTTAATTAATATCAGTTAATAAAGAAAAATACTATATAGAAAGATAGAATTTTAGAGATTGATATACAGTTAAAATGTAACCAGAAAGTATTATTGCTACTTGTACTATATAACGACAAAAAAGGAACCCATTTACTTACTTTGATTTGTTTTTCAGTTAATTTAAGTGTTGAAGCTATTTCAATTCTACGCGGTCGACATAAATATTGGCTATACCAAAATTCTTTTTCTAATTCTATCAATTGTGTTTGTGTATAAGCTGTTCGAGCTCTTTTAGATTTTTTACTCAAAGTTTTACTATTATTACTACTATTACTACCATTACTACTACATTCAGTGTTATTAGAGGTGTTATTATTATTCTCATCACTATGATTGTGATTTATTTTGTGTTTCTCTGTAATATCAATGTGAAAATTCGTTTCATTACTCGACTCATCATATTTATTAAACATATGATGTAATGGATAAGTTGAATGAATGGTATTGTGTAAATGACGTTGATAGTGATCATACTGTGAAGTCAAATGATGATGACGATGATATTGAAATGATGTAAAATCATAAACAGGAAATGCTTGATATTCATGTGATTGCGATGTTTTTGTACAATTTGTCCAGTCAGTAGATGTATTTTTATTATAATTGTTAAAAATTGATTTATTCATTTGCATGTACTCAGAATTTTGATTAACACTTAATTCTGAAGATGAATTCAGCACAGATTCCTCCATTTGAAAGCAATAAAACTGATGTGTTTCCCCATTCTTTTTTATTTGATATTCCACGTGATCCGCTTCATCTTTGAATTCTGACAACGATGAAGAATGGACATTTTTCTCTGATTTTAAACAAGTTGAATTTCGTAATGGTGAACTGGAATCTATCAATAAAAACAATCGAGTGTCGTTATCTTATCATATTTAGCTACTTATTTAGAAGCTTTATTAGTTCTTCCTCTAAACTTAAATCATTTCCGGAAAAATTCTTTGAAATTAATATAATTATCAAGAGACTTCAACCATCTGATTATTCACTGCTTATTAGTAGTTGATTTAAGAGAAGTGAGAGATTTTTAGGTTTTAGTAAAAAGAATGGGCTTCTGAGGTGAACTGACGCACGAATAAGAGAAACTATTAACCAATAAACTGTAACGAATATCATTTATTATAACAAATCCGCCTGAGTTTAAGCGGTATTGTTCTAATTAATATATCCCAATACTTGTTATCACTAAACTCAAAGTCCAGCATTAGATTCCCGATGATAAATAGTTGTATGGAATTTCAAGATAAAAAAAATATAATTGTCCATTGTTCATCAGTATTCATTAAATCCCGTAACTTTTACCTGTTCTCAAGGAAAACCACCCGAAACTTGATCATATCTTAAATTACAAGCGAAGTGAATTATGTTAATACAAATACTTGGTGAAGATGATGATGTCGTAGACTGCTATGATTTTCGCGTTTACCCAAACTTTCCATCCACATTAACTGATGATCTATGTTTTCATGCCCACAGATGACTTGAACGTTCACTATGTCAGATGTACTACTTTTAACAATAGACTGGTCACTTAATAGTGACTGATACCATTTTTATGTCGTTTTTATAGTACTGATCGAATTCAGTTTATCCAAATGTACAATCTTGACATCATTCAAAGTGATTTGTCATCAAATAAACTAAATTTAGATATTAAGGATTTGGATATAGTCAACAGGAAACCCTGGACATAATTTTCAGCCCATCTGGGACCCATCATTAATGTATACCTGTTGTCTGAAGAGAACTGGGGCTGTCTAGTGGAGTCCCTTAGTCTGGTGTGCACACTACAACTTAATTGTCAGAATTCGGTCATTACCGAAAAAGACTGGACAAACATGACATTGGTCACTACACAGTGATCAATGAATCATTAATATCTTATTCCTACAGGAGGTCAGTCGAGGCCAGAATAACATTTCAGAACCTGAAGCTGAGTGATACGGGGTCAAACCTGCCAAAGTGCACCACCGCCTGAATTATACAGATACACCTTATTGATAAACCTCGAGTAGCGCAGAATTTAGGCTTACAACTTCCTACCGACCACCTCTCACCACCTGATAGTACATTTTGGAATTAATGGGACTTATTTTGTAAATGATGTTGAATTTGTGGTCGCACTGTTTAATCCTTTTTTGTGTATAAAACGAAAGCAAATAAATGTACCGTTCTATAAGCAACGCTAGTTTCATTATACTAAAAGTTCCCATATTGTGAACTAGAACAAAATATATTACAAAGTTTTATTGATGATTTTCGATCCAATCTAAAAGTATGATAAAATTATCTGTTTTCCAATTTCGGTGACTGGTTTGCTTTGGTCAAACTAAACACTGATAATATTATACAAAATGATAATAATAGCCATATAGTTGAACTATTTAAATCAAGGAATTTAATGTAATCCAAAAAGCATTATTGTTTATCTCAGTCTATCGTTTACATAATCAAATATTTCTCAATGATCATAGTATTCGTCCAAAAGCATACTTAATTCAAAGATTATCGGTATAGAGTTATGAAGGTTGTTGACTTTCAGTCGATATCATGAATGGATGAATGTTAGACCACTATGATAAACCTGGAAGCACTGGACGGTCGTTTCGTCCTCGCATGGGACTCCTCAGCAGTGCGCATTCATGATCTCATGCTCAAGACTCGAACCCACGGCCTTCGGTCTCGCGTGAGAATTATAATTACTAAAAGTCATTAAGATAGTTAATAGTATATTAGCGTATTATATTAGCGTAGACTTGTATAATTCATGAAATAATTAAAGTTGAAAGATTATACTTTCCGACTTACCTACAAAGTTATCTATTAAGTTTGTATATGAAATGGTTGATTCCGTCATTTTCGGTCAACATTAATGATTTATTTTGTCATTTATTATGATGTAAGTGAAATAAATTTTATATTAATAAAAGTGATCTCTTGTTACTGAATAGAAGAATTAACAAATTTCCCAATCCCTTTTTATTGAATTCTTATCCATTATGTATATACACATATGTATCAATGAAGTCTACTGAATAATAGGTAATATGTTCAATTTCCCTTGTTTGTTTGTTTATATCAGAATTACTATCTATTCCATAAAAACTCGAAATATTCTCTTCCTTTTATTTTTGTATGTATGTTACGTTTACGTTACGTTCTTTAAATTTCTCGTCTATTTCTCTCATTTATACAATATACATATATATGCATACACCTTAGGATATAGATAGATAAATCACTTTAAGATTATATGTTTGTATGGTAAATGGATAGGGAAATTCTGTTAGTAAAGTAACATATCTATTGGTTAGTATGGTTTAGCGTGTAGATTTGTTATTTATTTTCGTTACATCATAAATGAGAAAACATTAAACCCAGTGACTATTCTTGTATTAGTTGTGGTTTATTCATGTTTTTATTCAATAGATTCAAGGAAGAAAAGTGAGTGCAGTGTTTATTAGTGCTTATTATTCAGAAGTTAAATGGTTTATTAAATATAATATGATTAGTAGCTTATAACAGATTGATAAAGCATCCAAATGAATGGTATATATATCAAGAACGTCTCTCGGTTACATCTTAAAGGTGTTTACACTATAATATTTCCATACCGTTTTGATTACTTTCGAGAAAAAAGGGAATCAATTTATTTAGATATTAGTTGAATACAGTTATCCCTTTCGTTGGGAGACAAATCCTAGATAGACCTATCTTATATCTATTCATATGTAGAATTTACCTAATGTAATAAAGTGAATATTTCCTTATTTTCTGTGATATTCACTTAATATAAACTTGATTTATGTTTCTATTACACTTAGAACCATAAAGCAACATCTTAGACAATTAAACCGGAATACTTTCTAATATAACAGATGAATTATAAAAATTTTATATAGTCGAAATCATGAGTCAGTTGAAGCTAGATCACCATGATAAACCTGGAAGCACTGGACGGCCGTTTCGTCCTATTATGGGACTCCTCAGCAGTGCGCATCCACGATCCCGCCTTGCGAGATTCGAACCCAGAACCTATCAGTCTAGCGCCAGAGCGCTTAACTACTATACCACTGAGATGGCCGGAATTCAATGGTGTTAATGTCTAACTTCAACCAATCCTTGAAATTGAGCAACCATTCACCAATGTCTTCAGTGAGTTGATATCCCCCAACAGACCTGGTTGAACTCCACTGGTTACTGCGTCTCACTAGAACTCGAGGAAATACCTCATGGAGCCAGTCACTAGTGAGCATATGATCATTATCGGAATGCTTTAAGTTGTTCGTTCCCCTATTATCTTGACTACAAAAAAGTATTTTGTTATTCATGTAATCACTAAAAAATACCTAGTACGCATTTATCAGTTGACGATTCTGAGGATCACATCAATTTAATTCGATGGGATTGTGGGTGTAAACTACTGAGGAGTCCCGTACTTTCAACTGCTTCCTGTTTTTCAGAGGTTATCTAGCCATAGTCGATTTTTGATGTAAGAAATGATATTACCTGCTAGTAAGAGTAACTCTCGTACAAGCTCTGAAGTATCAGGTTTTATGAAATGTCGTCCCTCCTACAAACTACCTAGAGGTAAAATACTAAATAAACGGTTAATAGGTAATATCATCGTTTTCCCACTAAAACGAAATCACTGGTTATCACCTATATTTTGAAAAGAAAATATATTCGAAATAGACTCCTAATTTTAACTTGTGTAACTAGTGAATAACGTATTGGGGTAATAAAGAATAAACTAGGAGTTATTTGTAGTCCGTCATGTTCTATGTAATGTGTTTTTCTTAGCTGATTTATTTCCTATAAAGCAAATGCCTACTCATTTAGTCGCAAATGCTAACTCATGAATCTGTCTGGGATTAAATCATTGGAGACAATTAACAGAAGCTAACATTTAAATCTCTTTTCTTGGTCAATCTACATTCTCGAAATCATCTTTAGGGTTTAGCCATTTAGCAGCAGCTGGTTACTATTGATTAAAGGACTTTATGTTGTAGAACTTTCACCACTGTCACAATTTTATCAATAATTTAAAAAAAATATGATCACTAAGTCAAGTGACTTGATATTATAGTTGGGTTCTTTTGTAAACAATCATCAAAAAGGCTTGCACTAAGCTATATTGACCACAAAAGCAAAACCAAACTTCTGAAAGTTGTTAGCCAAATAAATTGTGAATTCACATCCCACTTTTATATGTTATTAGGCACGTTGAATGTAATAATCGAAGGCCAACTATAGATTTTAAGATCGTGAGAGATTATTTATCTACATTTAACAAACTAGGTATTTTATTTAAACCTTGAAAATAAGTTACTTTACCGAGAGAATCGACATTGAAGATCAAAGATACAGGTCTTTTTAGGCGCTATAAATCATGATAACCTAGCAGTATTACTTTTAGTATGGATTTCTCAGTCCCAAATTTTATGGAAATATTATACATAAATTTATGTTCTAATAAGTTTATTTATCTTTCTCAAAATCGTATCAGTCAAATCTTACTCAGTAAACAACCACTTTACTATCACTCATTCATAGAAAACTAAAAAATTAATAAAGTCCTAAATTAATTGAATAACAGAAGAGTCACTATTCTATTTAAGATGGATAAGAATTTAACAGACCCTCCAGTTAATTTAACAACAAACAAAAACTTTATCGATGAAGTAATTTGGGTGGGATGCAGTACTCTGAAGTCAGCAGTACTTAAATACCCTCACATTCTGAATTCACTGTTCATCAGAAAGTGTTGAATAAGGTAAAAAAAAATTGAGATTAATAAATTACACTCAACCCTGCAAGCAAATTGGGAAACCAAAATGGAGTAAACACTCAAACAACTTTAGTTCATTTCAACAAGATGAAACCTAGGTTCATCAAGAGTTACGTTGATTGTTTCATAAAGCTAGGTTACTAAAAATATAACCAGTATACTGCTAGGAAACTCCGCCTGTAGCTCCTCTGGGGGTTACTGCCGGTCCCAAGCCCGGGTAAAGGAGGAGGGTTGGGTATGGGGTTAGCGACCCCATCCCGTAGAAAATCAACTCGCTAAAAAAACGCTAACCAGAAAAAATCATTCAAACCATTCAAACTCTGCCCTAGGAGTAGAAAGAATAATTATGACGTCTCATGATGAAAGCCGAGTTCATTCGGAAGTCATGAGGCCGATGCACCTTCTTACAACCAGAGCGACAATTTTTATAGGTACATGGAATGTCCGAACAATGTGGGAGACCGGAAGAGTTTTCCAAATTGCTGCAGAAATGAGAAAATACAATCTGGAGGTTCTTGGAATCAGCGAAACACATTGGACGCAGGTTGGACAACAACGACTGTCTTCAGGAGAACTGTTATACTCCGGTCATGAAGAAGAAAATGCCCCACATACACAAGGAGTTGCATTGATGCTGTCCAGAATAGCACAAAATGCACTGATAGGATGGGAATCTCATGGACCAAGGATCATCAAAGCCTCCTTCAGAACAAAGAGAGAGGGCATTGCAATGAACGTCATCCAATGCTATGCGCCTACCAATGACTACGATGAAGACGCTAAAGACCAATACTACGACAGGTTGCAGTCGATCATCGAGAAGTGCTCAACCAAGGACCTGACCATTTTGATGGGAGATCTCAATGCCAAGGTTGGAAAGCACAACACTGGATACGAAGACGTCATGGGACAACATGGACTGGGAGGAAGGAACGAAAATGGTGAGATATTTTCAAACCTATGTGCCTTCAATAAACTGGTCATAGGTGGCACCATATTTCCACACAAAAACATACACAAAGCCACTTGGATTTCACCGGATCACACTACACAGAATCAAATCGACCATATCTGCATCAACAAAAAGTTCAGGAGGACGATGGAGGATGTGAGAACCAGAAGAGGAGCTGATATAGCATCCGATCACCATTTGCTGGTCGCCAAGATGAAACTAAAACTCAAGAAGCACTGGACAACTGTGCGGACAACATCACAAAAGTTTAATACGGCCTTTCTTCGAGATACTGACAAACTCAACAAATTCAACATAGCCCTCAGCAACAGGCTCGAGCCCTTTCATGACCTACTCAATGGAGAGGGAACTACCATGGAGAGCAACTGGAAAGGTATCAAGGAGGCAATCGTTTCAACGTGTCAAGAGGTTCTGGGCCAAAAGAAGCACCATCACAAGGAATGGATCACTGTTGGTACACTGGATAAAATTGAAGCAAGGAGGAACAAGAAGGCAGCAATCAATATCAGCCGAACCAGAGCGGAAAAAGCCAAGGCACAAGCCGAATACACAGAGGCAAACAAGCAAGTGAAGAGGAGCATCAGAACCGACAAACGTAAATATGTTGAAGATTTAGCGATGACAGCGGAAAAGGTTGCAAGAGAAGGAAACATGAGACAACTGTATGGTACAACAAAGAAACTTGCTGGAAATTACCGTAAGCCAGAAAGACCAGTGAAAAGCAAGGAGGGCAAAGTAATCACCGACACTGAAGAACAACGTAACAGGTGGGTAGAACACTTCAAAGAACTCTTGAATCGACCAGCTCCACTGAACCCACCCAACGTCGAAGCAGCACCCATGGACCTCCCAATCGATATTGGCCCACCAAAAATTGAATGGATCAGCATGGCCATTAGACAAGTCAAGAGTGGCAAAGCAGCGGGACCAGACAACATCCCGGCAGAGGCACTGAAAGCAAATGTAACAGCAACTGCCAAGATACTCCACATCCTCTTCAGTAAGATTTGGGACGAAGAACAAGTACCAACAGACTGGAAAAAAGGACTTCTGATCAAGATACCAAAGAAAAGCGATCTGAGCAAGTGCGACAACTACAGGGGCATCACTCTTCTCTCAATACCAGGAAAAGTCTTCAACCGAGTATTGTTAAACAGGATGAAGGA